GTGAGATATCTTCATCACTTAGGTATGAGAAATCGGAACATGGTTCCGTTGAATCATCATCCTGGCCTAATCCTCAGACGGAGATCTCTCCATCTGAATGATTGAAGTCGAAGTCGGCAAGAGCCTTGTCGACTGCAGCCATTTTCTTGTCCATCATGTTGAGGGACCCGACAGAGGAGTCATCCTCGTTGTCAGAGTTGTCTGACTTGCGTTTGGCAACATGGTTGCATTCGCTTTTCTTCTTGCGATCCGCCTTGACCGCAGCGTTGGAGACTTTCTTCATAAGGACAGAAAGTTCCTTCTTGGTGTAGGACTTGGCATCGATAGACTTTCGTTTCCAAGTCTTGTTCTTGTTGTACGATGGCTTGCTATCGTTGTCAGACGAGGACTTGGCTTTGAGTTTCTTCAGAGTCATGCAATCAGCAGTATTGTGAGTGCTGGACTCGTGGTAATCACACCACTTGTCTTCGCTCTTGGAAGAATGGTCGTTGTTGCGAGCAGACTTGTACTTCTTGCTGCTGTTCTTCTTCGAAGGAGCTTGCTTGGCATCACTGCCTTTGTCAAAGTCTTCAGCGGATTCCATGCGCTCACAGAATCCAATGAGAGCTGTCATCTCGGCAGTGAAAGGATCGAAGTCGTGTTCGTCCATCTTGCGCATCCAGGAACGAGGAATGCCATGACAGATGATGTCAATGAATTCGTCCTGGTTCAACTGTTGATTGACACCGAAAGGTGGCAAACGTGGAAGCTCATCGGTATTCATCCGAGTGAGGTTGTTGATGTAGGCGCGAGTTGTCATCTTGCTAGGCTTACGCATCTTGCGACACATGAAGCATTTCTGTTTTTCGAGAGCCTTGTAAGGACAGGCTGCTTCGATAACCGCGTTGATTCCAAAGGTGATGTCAGCATCGCTTAGAGCGGGTTCCGCTGCACCGTCCCATGCAGCTTGGACACGAGCCTGGAAGGCTACTTCGGTTTCTCCAGAAGTCACATCGCGTGGAGGAATTGCGTTCACAGCAATTTGTCATAGGGCGTTATGACGCATGGCACGATGGCCTGCACACCCAGCTTCGTAGGCACTCTTCGCAGAGCTGGAAATCATCTCCTTGAGAAGGCGATGTTTGTCGTCGGCATTGGCAAGGTTGAGTCCAACGAAGACCTTCTCCATATTCGTAGCCCACTTGATGGTCTGACGCGGAGTGTTGGAACCATTGATGATGGCTACCTTGAAGGTGTATTTGGCACTGTTTGCATCTGCAGGAACGGTGCGAAGTTTGTAGGTGGTTGCACAAGAATCGTCGATCTCGGCGTCTTCGTCATTGTCGACGAGAGGAAGAATGGGTTTGTCACGCAACTGTTTCTCGAAGTTGGTGAACGCATGCTTTCCTTGAGCAATCTTCATGGTGAAGGAATAAGTTGAGGGTAGCTGAAAGCTATTGTGTTTGTTAACAAAATGCACTACGCTAAAAGCTAGTGTAAAGATCTTTCGAGTGTTTTGAGTTTGAGAGAATGAAAATTATGAGAGAGATTAGAAAGCTATGAAAACTAATCAACGAGAGAGATCACCATCAAAGGATCGTAGATCTGGTCTCCCGCGGGATACTATAAAGTGTGATAGAGTAGGTTGCGGTAGTAATCCTACGTATCTCCACGATCCTAAAACGGAATGCGTGGAAGATTTGTCTAGCATGGATCTAGTAGCGTGGAAGTACTCCACGGTGGCTAAATATCTAGAGCGATGTTTCATCATCAACCTAGTATGACCAGCGCGGTCATTGAGAACCCTGTCTTAATAACTATTCACGAGTCATGAGTCGAACTCAAACCCTATCTAGGATCGAGTCGCGAATAAGGCTAAGAGCCGTGTATTGCACTCTGACAATGGGCCAACAATGATTTCCAGCATCCATGGTGGATAATCTTTGGTGGTTGCTGTGGATCCAAACCATTGCAGAAGTATCATCGGACAAGATTTGAACATTGGCATTACGCAGATCTGGAAGCTGCTTGATGAGGAGACAGCCTTGTGTATGTACCGGTAGCATCCTGGATATTGATGGCCCTTCTATCTACAGGGAGAAGATAATGATTGACGGGTACCGGTAGCTCCAAAGGGGCAAAGAGCTCCACATCGTGGTGGATAGAGCAACACAACGAGATAGGGCTGCATAAAAGGTTCCGGAACGCACACCGTACTCCTCAAAGTTCTTTACCTGGGCAGTCTATCTGCCTGAGCCCTCCACCCCTTTACCTCAGCAGTCTATCTGCCTGAGCTCTCTACCCCCTTTTTGGTATTTCCTATTTCCTATATCCTATTACCTCGGCAGGTTAACTGCCTGAGTCCTCTACCCCTTTAATGGCAAATAATCTGTCTGTGGGATCCCCCTGGTTTTTGTCTGTGGGATCCCCCTCATTTCCTGTCTGTGGGATCCCCTATTCCGGTGAAGCCAGGGTATAAGGATAGAGATAATGTAAGCTGGCAAAACTGGAAATTGAAGGTTCAATAAAAGTTAGGGGTAGGAATATATCAATGTAATTTAAGGTTAGTGCACTCAGGACAAAAACACAATAAGCCAGCAGGTGTTGTAAATTTAGAGTTACACGATCGAATGATAGTTGTAAATTATGGGTTAGCCCGTGGCAATGCCAATGCTAGCTTAATATAAAACAGAAGGTTACAATGAGGGAATGATAGTGGGTGGCAACACATGACGAAGTCGGGTGTTGTCGCCGACGAAGTCGGGTGTTGCCACCAGGGCTAGCTTAAATAAAAAAGAAGGTTATAATGAGGGAATGATACCAGGCGGCAACACACGACGCGCCTGGGCTACCTTGAAAGAAGGATGCAATCTCAAACACGATCCTCTTTCTTCTATTTGTCATTCTGCCGAGGTATCGCAGCTCCCGCTGACTTATCCTGTTCCCGTGAAGCCAAAATATAGGGATAGAGATAGTCATAAGCCAACAAAACTGGAAATTGAAGGTTCTACAAATTTAGGGGTAGGAATAAATCATGATCATTCAAGGTTAGTGCAAAGTAAAGATTGAAGGAAAATAATTGAATTTTTATCAGGGCAAGAGCTCTACCAATACATTGCTGAGTGACAGTCTGTCAGACTATTAGCTCCCCAACACACTCACAGAGCCACCCCTTGAACCTTGAAGGGACTCAGCCATCTCCAAGGTTTTCCTATGGAATGTCAGTGAAAATTCAAATTTGGACGTTGTCATTCTGTCATGGATTTCTCCAAGCAATCCATCATCATATGTCATCAAAGGGAATTGATTTCCTGTTCCATCACTCAAAAGCAGTAGTGGAGAAGCTGTGAATCGATCCGCCGAACAAAAGAAACTTGTGCCATTGACGAGGCGTCATTCTAGTAGCGGTAGAGGCGTGCGTCGTCGTTCCGTGAAAGAGGAGGCGTCATGGTCGTGCCGTGGAACCTGTCATGGTCATGGTGAAGACGTCTTCAAGAGGAGTAGCCGCTGTAAAGGAGATAGCATGATCGAAATAATGAAAAGAGGGGACAATTGCTTGGCATCCGTGTGATGTCAGTCAACAGTGGAAGATCAAAGTGATCGCTCCATGCCAGTTCTAGCATGCTCTGTAGAATGTCAATATCAAATGCTGTCGATTGGTTCATGACAAAAACCAGAATCAGTCGTGTTCCAAGCATCCTTGGTCCCGTTCCAAGCATCCTCGGTCCCGTTCCAAGCATCCTCGGTCCCGTTCCAAAGCAGTCGTGGACCGTGCCATGGCACCAGAATCAGTCGTGTTCCAAGCATCCTCGGTCCCGTTCCAAGCATCCTCGGTCCCGTTCCAAGCATCCTCGGTCCCGTTCCAATGCAGTCGTGGACCGTCCCAGGTGCCATGGGAGAGAGCAGAACAACGGGAGGACAGGTTTAGCAACCAGACAAGCGGTCACTTTTGCTAACAACCATATGATACATATTCTATGGATCTGCTTGCTGTGTGAAATTGGAAGCATCGGCAGGAGCTTCTTCCGTTCGACAGGTCTTCTTTCAGCTTTCGGTGGATGACTGGAGTCTTTTTTCCCCGAGAGGACCACGGAACTTCCTCTTCCACGGAGCGACACCTGCAACACAAGGGGATTGGGAACCCATGTTAGGCAAGCTTTACGGAACCAGCAAGGACCGTTAACGCGCACACACACACAAGCGGCTATTATTATATGATGCTATGCATACATACATGTCATGTACTAGCTAGCTAGCTAGCTAGTAGTGGTTAGAGTGGTGATCATGAGAAGATGTTATACCAAAAACGATGGACATGATAGAGCCGACATGTTGCTTGCAATAGGGTGGGCCACAACTTGTCACCAACCTACTGCTGATCGCAACGAATACATGTATTTTCGTCTTGCTTTTGATGGGAGAGATCCTGGCTCAAAACTCTTGAACTCGTCTTCAGTGCCTACCGGTCACGTACCGTACTAGTAGCAGCAACATGGGCAACTAGTCTTGTTCTCCTCATTTCGTGCTTTTGTGCCTTTCGTGCACCGGGCCCTTTTGGAAATTAAGGCTCCCATTTTGAGAAAATGTCGCCATTGCATGCTTCTTGGAGCTCTTCTCGGCAAGCTATCAATACATACATTTGTTGCTACCCAGCTAGCTGGCCGGACGTCTGCCTTGGGACACCTGGAAGACAACTTTGGAGTTCAGGAAGTTGCGGTAAATATTTGTTTTCATACAAAAATATGGAGTAAAACGTAACTTTAACCCTATATTTACCGCAACTACCCTTCTAAACCTGTCTTCCTCCTCTCTTTCGGACTTTCTTCAGCCTTCGGGCTTTGCAAGCTAAGCTAAAAAGTACATTTTCACTCACTACTACTGTAGGTACGTACTGTGTTGCAGAACGATCCTGGCTCTTCAGTTTTGAAACATGGTGGGACTGGGAATGGGAAGGCCAGGAGCGACGGGAATTGGAAAGCCAATCAAATGGAATGCAGCTTTACATCGGCTCGCGCTCTGGCCCATTTTGGGCGGCCCCATCCAAAGCCGAAGATAAATTTCTTTTATCATACCTCCCTTTATCACCCTCATAAATTCAACAAGCCATCAGCAGGAAGCCAACATCTACCTAGCCATCGCCATCACATCAACATCAACAACAAGCAAGTACTAGCTAGTATGTTCGACCTCACAAGCCGAGATGGAGCGCCAGCACGCTCAAGACATGGACCGTATCAAGGCCCAGCGGAAACGCGACAAGGCGGAAGCCATTGAAAAAGATCGTCGCCACATAGAGAAGATGGAGGAGTTGGATCGTTGCCACAAACAGGAACGCCAACGTTGCCACAAGGAGGTCGAGACCAAGCGGATCGAAACGGAGGAACAGCTCAAGGCCTTCAAGATCAAAGCAGAGGAATTGGCCAAGATCATTCTTGAAAACTAGACACCCATCCAACAGAGTGTCACTAAGACCTTTTTCGAGAACAATCCAGAATTACAGCCATGGCAGGAGCTCACTGCAGGACTTCAGGAGATCTGTGCAGGACTTCAGCAACAAAATGCACAACTCCTGCAACTATATGTACTATTCCGGCAACTCCATGCAGCCGTCCAAGAGCATGAGTAAGTTGCCTCCCAACAAGAAACTCCTCCTGCTGAAGACCCCCGAGCCGTCCAGGAGCATGCGGGAACCTCTACGTGATTGAATGAGGAAAACCGGATCTTTGTGATACGCTCTACAGGTGGTAAGCTCTACCGGTACTGATTGATCCATAGGTACCAAACAGTAGCAGCATTTGAAATTGAGAACAGAATTGATTGGTTGACTTTTGTCACTATAACCAACCTATTTGTGTACACTGTTGAAAAAGTATTTCTTCTAGCTAGACTAGTAGTACTTTGACGAATCCACCTGTCAGCGATCACCTCGGCGTTGCAAGTACATGTATGTAGTTATAAGGTACGAAGACATAGAATACGAGCTCCTTCATGGTAAGACGCCATCCAGTGAACAGAGGCTCATTCGTGAGAATGTCACATCCATGCCTTTGCATGCAATCGTGGATTACTATCTACTGTAGGCCTGTCCCTCTGGGCCTTCAGATCCAGTCTTCCACTTCAGGCAGGTTGGCTAGTTGAAGTCCATTGCGATCTTCGCAACGGAGACCAGCACTGTAGCTTTCAAAGCCAGCGTCAGCGATAGAGAGACGCACACCTTGGCCGCCATTGAGTGACACAGGATTTGTGTTTCTTCCTTCGTCAAACCATGCTCCTGGAGTGCTTGAGTGATGCTTTGGTGTCAGAGCCAACTTTGGGTCGGCATGGCAGGTGGCATCCAGAATTGTGATACAGTGGTTCATGCTTTGGTCTTGGTTTGCTCGACTCTCACTCGTCAAATTCTGCACAAACCGATGGTATGCCCATACCTGTCAAAGCTCCTGTCAACGTGCTGTGCTACGAGACGACATGCCTGAACTCCAGACCATGAACAAACCACGGACCTTTTGATTTGCATTTTCGAGCAACGGAAGAACCCAACATTGCATTTGATAAATATGTAACGCACAGTAGAATTCTAGAACAATTAGAGTCTTTGATGATCCACCTGTTCATCAGTCATCTTGGCATTGAACTACATGTAGTTGGTTGTGCTTTTGTCCTTAGTCTTGGTTCCAGGTGCGAATGGCAGGCACAGTGATGCTCACCAGGGCGGCGACGGCCATGTGCCACAGAACGTGCCCACCAGCACTTCCACCAACAGAACTGCTGGCATCGCCACCACCAACGCCACCACTACCACAGAGTTCCTCACTGCAGGCACAGTGTGATTCCACATCAAACTTGCAACAAGAGTAGACTTGGGACACTGGACCAGATCCATCTTCTGGCCTGGAAAGCTTCCAATAGGCAAGGTATGCTCCCGCTTCACACTGCACATCAGGGGAAAACCATCCAGAAAGTCTCCGTTGTACTCACAGCATGAAAAGCCTCCACCGCTCTCCACTCCAGCGAAACTGCCAGTTCTGCGCGTCAAGTCAATTGAGCTCTTCGCAGTGATCAGAAGTGTAACTTTCAATGCCAGTGCCAGCAATGGGGAGACACACATCTCGCCAATTTATTGAGTGAAATAGGATTCGTGAGCTGAAGATCAAAGATCGTTCCAGTTCTACATACGGTACATGTCATGTACTAGCGATGATGTTATAAGAAGATAGACTTGGTAGCTTCTTCCTTCTCCCCCCTCAGATCTTTTACCTCACCAAAAAACATGTCTGAACACTGGGTCCTTCCTTCTTCAACCCTTTGTGACGCGGGTGTTGCACAGTTTAGCTGCCTTGCAATTGAGAGGTGCAAACGATTTTACCAGTATCCACGAATGAGTTAGAGTCGTTAGCATGTTTGAATTTGAATGTCGGAGTTAACGTTCTTTTCTCGGTGGCACCTTTGGAGGAGGCTGCTCACAATTTTGGAAATTTTGGTCCTTGAAAAGCTAGAGTGACAAAGCACTATTAATAATAAAATGCTGCACCGCCTGTTGTTCGTAGTTGTTGCTGTTTGCTGGTTTCCAGTGTCGCTTTGCGAAGATGCCACTTTCGTTCCAGATCTCGACGAGACCGAGAGTCCAACTCTTGATCAGAGCGTCATTGCCACTGTAGTACCGGCTGAAGCAGTCGTTGAAGCAGAAGAAGAGGAGCCAGAGGCAGCCTTACCAGCAGTGACTGAAGAAGAACCAGAACCTGAGGAAGACCTCGTCGTCACAGTAGCTCCTACTGATGAAGTGACTGAAGCGGCTCCGGAAGAAGTACCAGTAGAAACACCTGAAGCAGAGCCAACAGAGGAAGAAGTAGAGGTAGAACCAACAGAAGCTGTGACAGTGGCACCGGAAGATGACGAAGAGCCTTCACTATTAATACCAGCTGGTACTGCCACTACAGCACCATCTACAGTTGTGCCTCCTCCTGAGGAAGATTCGTCTGACTCGTTGCCAGAAGAAACCACAGCGCAAGTAGAGAAAACCAACGCCAATTCTGACGGTGAAACTACCGCCACGGATGGAGAGGAAGACGTCAAGGATGAAGACGAAGAGGAAGCCACTACTGGTACCCGTGGGGCCAGCAATCCTACCCAGAGCGTCAGTGCAGCCGGTAGACCAGCCTGTTTTCCCCTACTGATGGCGCTTGTTCTTGGCAGCTCTTTCCTTTCTCTTCTCTACTAGCTACCGGTAGCCACTAGAGTAGAGTGACAATCTTGTGCTGCTGTGCCTCACTTATGCATAGTTTTGAGGATGTATTAGCGTGATCTGTATGTAACATACTTCTACTAGTATTGTTCTACCACTGCATTTATTTATAGAATCACTAGCTAGCGTCCCAACACTTTGGCTCTACACTTTTGTGGAGTTCGATCACGGCTCTTCTTGGTCTTGGTGTTACATGTACTTTTGTTCTCACCACCAACCTATGCTCACATGTCATTGCACAAGGCCAGAAGATCTCGAACGAGAGCGCTGCGCGACGCCAGGAGACTCATGTGAATTACGCCAGCTCATTGCAAGCCTTGAGGATGAATTATGCCAGCTCATTGCAAGCCGCTTCGAGTTCCTATCGAAGCAGATTATTGCACAACAAAAGGAAATCTCTGCGCTACGCCGACGCCAGGAGACCTCTGGACAAAGCCAACTCATTGCAAGCCTTGAGGATGAGCTACGCTCTGAACAACTCCAGCTCGCCAATGAGCTTCGCTCTGAACAACGCCAGCTCGTTGCAAGCCTTCAGGATGAGCTACGCTCTGAACAACTTAACCTCGCCAATGAGCTACGCTCTGAACAACGCCAGCCCATTGAAAACCTTCAGGAGATGCAGGTACGACTCTTTGCGGCCGTCCAAGAGATGCATCGCGCGGGAGCCTCCCATTAGACTCGTTCCGATCCACCCATCCACTGCCTCGGAGCAATCCAGTCCCTGGCTACTGGCTACAGTGCCAAAATGTAGCTACCGGTGCCATACCGGTACCGTAGTTGGCTGCCAGTACATGTAGTACATGTTGAGCCTTCATCTAATTTTACTCTAGCAAAACTCCACTACATGTACCGTACTTAAGCTTCTGACGTTCCGAAGGATTCAATCAAGGTTGCTGAGCTTACAGGCTCGACCGTCTAACAATGTAATCAATGTACATGAGTGATAGCTACTAGCTAGAGTACCATGATACAGTACCGGTACGTGTAAGACCTACTAAATATAAGTGCCAAGTGCAAAAGAAGGTGAGATTTACGATCCAGGCACGCGCTTCAACATTGAGCTTGTGCACTCTTGAAACACACACCGGGGCCATCTCCAGGTCCAGTTTCTTGTTCAAAGCCAAAGATTCGAATAAGATTTTCTTCCTCCTCCTCCACATCCTCATAGTATTCAGCAAAAAATCATCAGCAAGCAAGTGCGAGCAACTCTGACTCCTCTCGTGCAGAAGACCAGCGCCGTTTCGAAGCCGAGATGGAACGCCTCAAGGTGAAAAGCATTGAAAACGAACGCCGCCATGAAGCTGAGTTCGAACGCATCCAGATGGAACGCGAGAATCTCGTGAGTACTAGTACCAACGAGGCCGAGACGGAACAACACAAGGCGAAGATGGAAGCTCGAAAAAAGGAGATCCTGGCACTACACCAGGAGATCCTGGCACAAGGCCAGGCGCTCCTGGCACAAGGCCAGGAAACCAACGCACTACTCCGTCAAACCCTTGAAGATGTCCAAGAGCAGGATCATGCCGACGCCTAAATTTTAATACTGTACCTGGTACCTCATTGGAAGAACGACGATGGATCTTTGTTGGGTATCGGTACTGATCGATCCATACCGGTACGCACCGTACCGTACCGGTAGTGTACCATACCGTAGACGCACTTGAAATTGAAAGGAATTGATTGGTCGACTTTATGCATACTAGTAGTCACTACATAGGTCTAACCAGCCAACCCATTATTGCTAGTATTCGTTTCTAGCTAGTCTAGACTACGGTACTCGTTGTTGCAGTCACTTGAGCCAGAGCTCGTTGCTTCGCTCTCTTGCTTTATCCGCGTCGCCATGTCACAGTACTAGTAGCAGGAATTCTTACTCATCAAGGTCCAGTGCTGGAACCCAAACAAGCCAGTCGCCAAGATTCGTCAAAGTTTGACCGGAAAAGTGTAGGGGTGCGTAATCGTGCATGTACCAGGACCGTCCGACGCTTTTCACTCAGGATTTAAAAATCTTCAAATTGCCACGACTGACAACATCTTTTGAACAACCCCTTAAACAACCCCTTTAAACAACCCCTTAAAGCTTAAACATCCCCTTAAAACAACCCCTTAAATAAACAACCCCTTAACAACATCCCCTTATATCCTTCTAAACAACCCCTTAAGCCTTCATTGAAACACCATACAACAACCCCTTATCACGAATGAACATCCCCTTAAATAAACAACCCCTTAACAACAACCCCTTAAATATTCAACATCTCCTTAATCAACCCCTTAAAGCTTCAACATCCCCTTAAACAACCCCTTATGAGAACCAGGATTATGCGTCAGTCGTGCCCGTTTTTAAAGCCTGAGTGAAAACCGTCGGACGGTCCAGTACAGCTCTCACTCGAACTGAGTGGTGGAAGCTGTAGATGAAGTACGATAGGCTCTAAACGAATTACTGGTAATTGCTAGCTAGCTAGAGTAAACTAAATGAAGGCTCTAGCTAGCTATGTGTATTTTCTCGGCCGTCAGGACCGTCCGACGGTTTTCGCTCAGGTTTTAAAAAAACTTAAAATATTGCAGTGGAAACATTCCTCCCTTAAATCCTCAACATTCCCTTAACATTCCCTTAAAGCTTCAACATTCCCTTAACATTCCCTTAACAAGAACCAAGATTTGAGCAGTTTTTAAAAACCTGAGTTAAAACCGTCGGACGGTCCAGGAGTACTGGACCTCTGTGGAAACTCGAGTCGTGCTACTTTTCGTCTTCTAAATCCTTTTGATCGTCTCCTATTTAATGGATTTCGTCTCCTAAAAATAGGAGACGAAACGGATCATCTCTTAAATCTTTTGTCTCCTCTTTTAAAAAACATCTCCTATTTTCAACGGATCGTCTCCTATTCTCAACGGATCGTCTCTTAAGTGTACCATGTAAACTGTATGGTATCGTCTCCTAAATCTTTCGGATCGTCTCCTATTTCGAAACTTTCGTCTCCTAATTGGAATGTCTCCTACTGAATCGTCTCCTAAATATAGGAGACGAATGCTTTCGTCTCTTAAATCATTTCGATCGTCTCCTATTCCTCGGAGTATCGTCTCCTAAGTATTTTGCCACGAATGACGTTTCCACAGAGGTCCTGTAGTAGAATCTTCTATTCTGATACTTTGTAGATAGCGTTCCCATAGGGAGAGGACACCAAGTCTTTGTAGTCATTCCATCACACTCCAGAGTTCTTTTGGTAAGACTCGCTTCATAGCTAGTTCGTCCCCTTGGAAAGCAGCTTTGCAAAGGGGGCAGGAGGCAATAATTCCCCTTTCCACCTGGCAGCCGACCTTGTGTCTCAGGTTTCTCAATTTCTGTTCATCCACATAAGTAAGCAGGCTATTGTTGCATGTGGGGCAATAGTCCCCTTGCCATGGTGCATTTGGTACCAATTCTGTTGAGATCACATGATCCACAAATAAGAGAACTTCCTTTTCAGCTGCCTTTCTAACTCGTTGACTGGAGGAGTTCAAAGCTATGAGAATATTGTTCCATTCTGCGGTATACACCAAAATATGTCCATGCAGGGTATTTCTGCTCTGTTCTTCAACTGCAAGTCCATAAGCAATGAGAGTTCCAAACAGCCCCATCTTCAGTGAATTGTCACCCACTATTTTGTCCAGAACAATATCAATGAGCTCGTCAAAGTTCCAAGCACACAAACCAGGATATTTAAATCGAATGGCATTACATTTGTCCATTTCAGTTGCCACCTCTTCTGGTGACATATGGTCCATGGAGGCGATCCAATTCAAAGTGTCCTCTTCCTGGGACCAAGCTAAAATCCTTATGTCCAATGAGTCATTAAAAGATACAGTGAAAAGAACTTTGGGGCAGCCATAATGGTGAGTTAATGTTAAAAATTTTGCTTGAGCTGACGATGCTGCTGCATTGGTGTGTGCCATATTTCTTTTTACACAATGGACAGATTCTAGAAAATGGCTACCTGGACCATTATCAGGGGGAAGTCCATTTAGCTTACTGGCAATGGCTGCATTCAACTCCTCCTCGCTCACATCACATTTTTCCCTGCCACCTGCACTACGCTAAAAGCTAGTGTAAAGATCTTTCAGGTGTTTTGAGTTTGAGAGAATGAAAGTTATGAGAGAGATTAGAAAGCTATGAAAACTAATCAACGAGAGAGATCACCATCAAGGGATCGTAGATCTGGCTTCCCGCGGGAGACTATAAAGTGTGATAGAGTAGGTTGCGGTAGTAATCCTACGTCTCTCCACGATCCTAAAACGGAACGCGTGGAAGGTTTGTCTAGCCTGGATCTAGTAGCGTGGAAGTACTCCACGCTGGCTAAATATCTAGATCGATGTTTCATCATCAACCTAGTATGACCAGCGCGGTCATTGAGAACCCTGTCTCAAATGACTATTCACGAGAGACTCAGTCATGAGTCGAACTCAAACCCTATCTAGGATCGAGTCGCGAATAAGGCTAAGAGCCGTGTATTGCATTCGCCCCCTGACAAGGGTCACAGAAGGCGCGACAGCAGTCGGACAAGGAGAACATATGATTTAAAGTGCGGGGCACTCTCATGAGATTGGATGTAGACATGTGCGTTGCACGATGGCAATCCTACAAGGGGATCAGGCCTTGTATGGGTGTATATACCTTATGTTCCAAGTCTGGTAGACTGTGCCGCCATTGGCGGTAGCATGTCGGAGCGTACAGTGCCATTGTCATTGACTCGGTCTATGGTGTAAGGACCTTTGTACTTTGGCTGACCGTACTTGCGGTGCTGATACTGTTGAATCATCACGGTATCGTTGACATTGTATTGATGAGGGACACGCGTCGCGTTTTCCCTATCGTTGTTTTGTTGGATTAGTCGTTGGCGACGTTCCTTGATGTACTTCCAGTTGGCTTCGAACCGGACGTTGTGAATCGCGTCACGATTCAACACGAGCTGTGCGGGCGTTGCACGCAAGGTGGTATGAATCGTGGCATTCATTGCAAAACGAACCGCCGTGAGGACTCCATCCCAGGATTCATTCACAAGGTCGTCTTGGCACTTGATGTTTTGAACAGCAATCAAGTTGCGTATGGTCTGATGAGCACGCTCGACCATAGAGTTGGCTTGAGGGTTACGCGTAGTGATGAACTTGCGACGAAGTCCATATTCATCCCGGAGCGTCTTTTCGACCTCTGCGCGGAACTCACGTCCTCTATCCATGATAACCTCAGCAGGCCATGGATACCGAATAAGCCACGTTTGTTCTAGGACGATGGCTACTTAGTCTGCTGCCTTGGAGCAGATCTCTGCAATCTCGAACCATCCGGTTACGGGATCAATCATTGTCAAGCAATGAAGTGTGCAGGAATTCTCTTTCTTAGGATCCCCGACGTTGTAGGGACCTATCAGGTCAATACATAGTCTTTCCCAAGGGATCTCCTCGCAAGTCTTTGGAGGCATCAATCCCAGCTTACGCGTCTTGGGTTTGTTCATCTGGCAGCTCTGGCAACAATGACATACGGCCTGCACAGTCTTGCGCAGTCCTGTCCAGGTGTAGTGTTGGCTGATGGTCAGTTCTGTGCGAGTCTCGCCAGGATGCATCAGTACACCATGGTACCATTCGACTAGCTTCTTCTGCATAGTCTTAGGTACGACGATCTTGTCGTCCTTGACTACTAAGTCGTAAGACTTATGCCCCCTGGGGAAAGATTGCTTCTTGTAGTCGTTTGGCTTGTCCCTGAGGAGTTTCTTGATATCGTTGTCGACCTTCTGACGATGTTCGATCTCGGGGAACGAGAGAGGGAACTCACTAGGGAAGTCCTCTTCGTCTGCAGCCATGAGCTCGGCGATCTTGCTGGCTTCCATCTGTTCTGAAGAACCATCATTGTTGGAGATGTTAAGCCTCGACAACGCATCAGCGACGATGTTCTGTTCGCCCTTGATGTACCGTAGTTCAGGGCCGTATTCTTCCAGAATAAGGCGCCATCGCATTACGCGATCGGTATTGAAGTTCTTACATGTAAGATTCTTGTGGTCCGTATGTACAACAATCTTCT